AAAAAAAATTTTCTATAGTTTTTTGTTTCATATTTTCTGAATATTTTTTTTTAGACTAAATTAAGTAAAAGAATTGTGTATTAATTGTCGCGGCTGAAGCTTGAAACGGCTGAAGCTTGAAATTTTAATTATTTTAATATGAAATTTTCAAAAATTTTTGGATGTATTTTTTTAGCTTTTTTTAATAATAAAAGATAAGTGATTTTTGGTAAGGTTTATATTCCTAAATCAAGATCCCTGATTTAAAGCTTCAACTGTTTCAAGCTTCAGCTGTGACATTAATTTACCTATTGCTGCTGTTACTATCAGGGGACCTACTATGGCTATGATCATGATTACGAACAGGGCTAGAAAATAAAAAAAAAACAGAATAATGTAGTGAATTCTTTTATAATTTCTTTTAGACTAAATTTAAGTGTATTAATTTACCTATTGCTACTATTACTCTCAAGAAACATACCATGGCTGTGGTAATGGTTACAACCAGGGCTAGAAAATAAAAAACCGAATAATGTTAGTGAATTCTATTATAATTTCTTTAGAGTAAATTAAGTGAAAGAATTGTGTATTAATTTACCTATTGCTACTGTTATTCTCAAGGAACCTACTATGGCTATGATCACAGTTATGACCAGGGCTAAAAAATAAAAAACAGAATAATGTTAATGAATCCTTTCATAATTTCTTTTAAACTAAATTTAAGTGAAAAAATTGGGTATTAATTTACCTATTGCTACTGTTACTCTCAAGGGACATACCATAGCTGTGATCATGGTTACAACCAGGGCTAGAAAATATAAAACCGAATAATGTTAGTGAATTCTATTATAATTTCTTTTAGAGTAAATTAAATGAAAGAATTGTGTATCAATTTATCTATTGCTACTGTTATTCTCAAGGGACCTACTACGGCTATGATCATGGTTATGACCAGGGCTAAAAAATAAAAAACAAAATAATGTTAATGAATCCTTTTATAATCTCTTTTAAACTAAATTTAAGTGAAAAAAATTGGGTATTAATTTACCTATTGCTACTGTTACTCTCAAGGGACATACCACGGCTGTGACCACAGCTACGACCAGGGCTAGAAAATATAAAACAGAATAATGTTAGTGAATCCTTTTATAATTTCTTTTAGATTACATTTAAGCAAAATTAATTTACCTATTGCTACTGTTGCTCTCAAGGGACCTACCACGGTTATGACGAGGGCTAGAAAGCAGAAAAAAAA